AGAAAGAGGCATGGTGTTAATAACAGGATGTCAGAACTTGGAGACGACGGGAGCAAGCTTTATGACTGCAGCGGCCGGCCCACGCATGCTGCGGCGGGAAGGGTCCGGAAAATGAAAGGCGAGAGGTCTGGCGCGTGCGGAAAACCTCGGAATACCATAATGCAATAATGCTGTCTGGGAGTTTAGGTGGGATGGAGGCCAAGGGGATTGGACAGGCTTCCGTGAACGGGTCAGCAGTCTAGGTAAACTGGAGTTTAGATCTGGGGTGGTGGGAAGCGGCTACAGAGAGTGGCAACTGCTGATCTTACAGTTAGTGCCCCAACTCCGTAGCCCACTACATCACCAGGACGCCTTTCACTTCTCCCCATACCAAACCAAATCACTGCCATGGAGTCAATCCCCATCCACAGCGGCTCTGAGGCAGGGTACCTGTGAGTTCCTGAGACTGTAACTCTTTACTGGAGTGGCAGCCCAGCATGTAACCCATTATGCCACCAGGGCTCCTCGCTCAATCTTAATTCCAAAACCTTACTTTGGTTTCCGGTCATCTCAGGTTGCACCCGGAGATCTCAGAATGTTACCCAGGTGCCTCCGAGGGACCTCGCCGTCTCCTCATGCTGGGTTTGCTTGCGTGTCTCCCCAGAGGGCAGCCAGAGAGCTAGCTACCGGATCCCATTCATCTTTGCATTCATGGTACCTGGCTCAGTGTCTGGCACACCGCAAGTGCTTTCTAAATGGTTGGTTACTAATAGCATGTGCTGCATAAATGACACACTCAGTGGTTTGAAGCTGCCGCTGCACTCTTAAGACCTGAAGGGGGCGAGTGACAGCATCTTCCCAAGTCTTGATTTCCTTACCCATTGAAAGGGTACAAGACATCCCAAGGTAGTCTACAGGATAAAATTAAAATGGGATGTATGTCACGTGCTTATTCATAGAGCCTGGCACAGGGTGGGTACTCAAATCCTTCCTCTTAGGACCGCCCATGTGAAACCTGGCTTCGTTCTCTTCAGGCCAACTCTCAGCCTTGTTTTGGGTGATGTAGTAGTTACCGGTTGGGCTGCAATCTGCAAGGTCAGCAGTTCGAAACTACCATCCTGCTCCATAGGATAAAGATGGAGCTTTCTACTCTCATAGTCTTGGAAACTCACAGGGATCGTTCTAGTCTGTCCTACAGGGTCACTGTGACTCAGAACTGACTCTGATAGCAGTTGGCGTGATTGGTGAGGCAGCTATGTGACTTCGGTAGCAGAAGTAGTGCTGGGGTAGCCAGGTGACAACATGGGAGAAGCCTGTATGCAGATGCCCCATTCCAAGGGAAACAGAAAATAGAATTGCCCAGTCTGAACCAATTTACTAAATTCACTTGCAGAACGATAATCCTATGACGTCTCTACCCACAGGTAGAGAGAGGACAGGGGCATACACGGGTGAGGGTGCAGATTCCAGAGACAGCCTGGGTTTGGCCTCTGCTCTATATGAATAGGGGTTGTGGGAGCCCATTAGACAAAGATCGGTGTTGGTTTGGCCACTTTTAACTTCCAGTTCTCTATCTGACAGTTTAAGGCGCTGTAAGGAGGACTGAAATGATGTGGGTTAGAACAATTAGCAAGTTGCCTTGCTCAATACCAAACTCCAACCCATTGAGGCCCAGCCACTTTTGTGAGCTCTATCTGCAGGCATCTTACCCAACACTTGACAAAATTCACAGTTTGCAGAAGAGGAAAAGGAGGTGAAGGGAGGTTAAACCACTTCTGGTAAATGCTCAAACCAGGTGGCAAAACCAGCTCTCTCTCATAAAATGTGGCTCAGACCATCCCCTGAGCTCAGCACCCAGGAAGTGCTCTGGAAATGCCACTTCCACTGAAGGGACCGCTCCGTTAGGAAGAGGCTCTCCGGGAGTCCCTAAATGCTTGGTGGAGTGGCCTCTGGAGGAAGGAGGTTACAAAAGATGATTGCCAAGGCCAGAAAGAGGGTGGCCACCTGGTCTGAGGCTGGAGGGGGGGTGGGGGTGCTTAGGCACTTTCAAGTCACCCTCTACTGCTTGCTTAATTAAGCTCACTTAAAGGGCCATGTGAGTGGGGGAGGAAGCACCTGACATGCCCTGGAAGTATTTCTGAGGAGAGGTGGGTAAAAAGTGCAGCACACAACAGTAGTAAGAAAATCCCCAATCCCCATAGCACCCCTCTCCCAAGCATCCCTGCAGCGTCCCCGCCCCCACCCCAGGAATGCTTCCAGCTCGGGGCTCCTTTATGATTGCAATGTGATTCAGAGGCAGCCCAGACAGGAGACCTCTGGTAGAAAATGCCCAGGCAGCCAGATGGGAAAGAAAGAATTTTGAATTTTCACTTTTCCTTAAACCAATTTCCTGAGGTAGTGCCCTGAGTCACAGAGCAGCAGGCAGAGCAAAGCGGATTTCTA